TTCTATTTTTGGGCGGGGTGGCTACCAGTCCACCTTTTACCGAGGAAAATCATGATGTCCCCACCTCAGTTATTTTGTATTAATCTTAGTAGTAGAACTTCCTACACCTAGTCTTTTTTTCCCTCCCCTCGGAAAGACATGAATGAAGTATAGGTATACAAGTGAGATTACAGGGTGAACAGCAAAGAAAGAAGAAAAAAAGGAGTCAGCCTTATACATCACAACACCGTCATTAATAAACAGCCAGGCAGGCAACAACAACAACAACAGCTATTTAGTAGCCTCTACCAAATCCCCATTTTTTTATTACTCATCCCTACTCAAAACCGTACCGCCATTGTACGCAGGTCCCCCCGACAAAACGCCACGCCCCCCCCCCCCCCTTGATGCAACCCAATATGTTGAACGAACGGCAGTTGGGCAAAATAAATTGGAAGGTGTGAGCGTCGATTGGTGTTGCTCGGGTTGTCACGTGGCAGGTGGGGACTGAAGGGGGCGGTGCAGGGCGTAAGTATCGAGATGGGAGGGCCAATCAGGAAGGCAGGTGGGTAGGACGCCTTGAGCCAAAGAGGAAATGGGTGAGGCCGGTTGGGGGGGGAGTTATATGGAGGATTGCATGTTAGAGAGTATTGGGAAGGGAAGGGGGGGGGACAAGGGGAGGCGAAGGTAGGATTGGGAGCCGAGTTTTGGTGTTTTGGGTTGGAAAAGGATTCGAGGTGTTGTGTGTGTGTATGTGTGTATGTGTGCCTTTTTGAGAGGCGTGGTTCGCTGTTTTCCTGAGGGTTTCTCTCTCTCTCTTTTTTTTTCCCATCTACATTCTTTGCTATTTTCGAAAGTGTGACTGGGAGTTAAAGACGTTGATAGCACTCATTTTTGACGAGCTGGATATACATACATACATATCTCTCCTTTGTACGATCATTACGACGCAAATTCAACGGCCATGGCACGACTACAACGTGCAACCACCTTGACGCCATTCTTCATCCTCGGCATGCTCCCTTATACATCCGCCGCACCACTTATCAAACGCGACGAGGGATACCTTCTTCCAAAGCCCGTCATCATCCTGCTTATCATCATCGGAGCTGGACTGCTTGTGTGCGTGGGGTTTGCAGTACACAGTGCCTTTGGGTTCCGGTCGAATGGAAATGGCATGAAGAACATGGGGTCGGAGCAAATGGAATACATGACAGCAGTGCGTGGGAGGAACTTAGCAGTAATGATGGCGCAAGGACAGCGGAGTCGTATGGAGGGTGCCGGGCCTGGAGGGGTGAGGATGGGAGAGAGTGTGTACGATTAGGAGTATGTTGGGACAGGAGTGGAAGAAGCGGGAGGCAATCTTTGCGTTGGATTGAGCATTATGAGCTGGACGCATTCGGTTCACGTATATCCTCACTTGTCCAGTTCAGATACTGGATTTGATACTGGGACAAACGGCGTTTTGGATGTTATGATTTTTTTTTGGCTGGATATGGTGGTTGTGTACATATTTTTACTGCTTGCGCTTTTTTACTGCATATGGTATTGAAACAAGCAATGCTTGTGACATATGGAATTGTCTGGAACTAGCTACAATGAATACATGTATTTATTCGTCGCTTGCACTGATCTACAAGGACTGATATTGGTGCAGGAAGTATCGACGAGGGATGACTGCTTTAAGAAAACTACAGTATGTGTCCACACGCTCCTGTCAAATACCATTAGACACTATATTTGGCATTAGTATATGTAAAGGAGTAGTCAAGCTTGATAGTGCAACTCAGAGGGCAAAATACATGAACTATCTGTCGAGCTTTAATAGAGCTCGAACAGAGGTTTTATATATACTCGGAAATACAATATACCGAGACCTGCTTTGTATCTACCTATGTTGTAAATGCCTGGCAGGTCGAGCTTGATCCGTGCTCAAGCTCCTTCACCGTCAACGTATGCATTCGAGCTTACTAAGGTCCATGGCCGAATAAGCTCAACCGTGACAGAACATGTAGTGTTGTGACTGATTAGTCTGGGTACAATCAGTTCATATATATTGTTGTTCGGCCTTCAGAGTCATGTTGATTAGTAGAGCTGCGTTTTCTGATATACGATGCAGCAGACGGCACAAGCAGTAGAAACAGCACATTTATCCACTATAGTCAGCTAATACTAATAAAACGTTCGTAAACATCTCCTATTCCAGTATGGATCTCAACAAGCAAGCACAGGCAGTTATAGCAAGCTGACTAGGTTAAGTTTACATAGCTCACTACTGCACCTCGACTTTATGATTCATGTTCTACGTCCGACAACCGAATAGGCAGTATTTGCAGAAAAGCGTTGATTGTAGTGGATCCATGTACATGTCTCCTACCTGCAATCCTACCGTATATTATCCGACACTAGAACAACCAACACTGACAAATAATCCAATCATGTCAACCCTACCTACAGTAACTACACTTATGTTCCCCATCTCTACACCATCAGCTCATTCAGTATACCTATTTCCCCATCCCTACACCGTTCCATGATTAAATCCCCACATTCCTTCACCGTTATACCAACCAACTCGGCTAAACCACACGAATGGAGTTAACAAAAGAAAACACATACACAGCTGACCACGTAGATGTTCACACCGCTGGCCTACACTCTCTCTTGTCCAAAAAAAAATTTAAAGGAAACAAAAAAAGAAAACACGCCAGGTCGGCGACGTCAGGACCAAGCCAGAGGGCTGGATTTGCGCCACAAAGGACTGGTATTGGGCAGAGAAGGAAGAGAAGGATGCACGTATATCCCTGTAGATAAGTACATAGCATGCATACGGGTGGAAAGCAAGACCGAGAAGGACAAGAAAGGGTGGCTGATTGAGTTAGGCCGGAGAAGGGCCAGGCCATTGCATGAGGGCAGTTGTGTAAGTTAGTGGGATGCCTGAACAGGGCGAGTGCCGAGACAGTTGGCGCTGGCCCAGTAGCCCAACTAACTAGCTAGGGGCTTTGGGCGGAGAATTTCGGGATCTGGGGCTGAGAAGATGCAGCATGTAGGTGTTCCAGAAGGCGAGGGCGGATGGGTCAGTGCGGTTAGGTGCATGTTTGAATATACGGGTTTATGTCACTGACAAGGGCATGGGATGTATCTAGGGAAATGGTAATTGGACTTGTGGCTGTCACGGTACGTAATGTCACAGAGGCTGATGGTGCCAAGTCAAAGTTTAATGTGCATGTCAAACGGTCGATGATGGTTGAGAAGGGAAGAAAGGCAAAGGATTGAAATTGGTCAAGGTAGCTGCGAAAACAGAAAGAGCAAACAGGCATCATATGCAACATGACAAATGGCGGGGCATCAAGTAGCTTCCGCGGCTGAAGAGGGACCCTCGTCGTCGACGCCCATAGCTCTGAGCTTAGCTTCGACAGCTGCGACCACCTGAGCATCAAACTGGTCTGACTTCTTCGCTTTCTTGACACTACGTCATGTTAGTAAATCATGTTTGAGAAGACAATAGGGGTACATACGGAGATCTAGTACACTGATCGCACCGTTCGTGTCCGCAGCCTGGACACTGAGGCTGGTGATTTTGGAAGAGGCTGTTGCACTTTTCACACTGCCAGCGAACCCTGGTTCTTGGTTTCCGCCATGTGCGCCTAAACGTCTCGAGTTGCCTGTCGACCTCTGTTTCGCTGTCTGCTTCGGCGTCGCCGGGGTATCCGGCAGGCCATTTGGTGAGCTTTGCGGGCTCGCGGGGGCACTTTGTGCATCTGGCGTGGTGGCAGTTTTGGCAGATGACAGCTTGGGCAGGAACGAAGACGGTAGAGCACTTGTGGCAGGTGCGCCTGATGCGCTGCTTGGTAGGCTGGTAGACGAGTTCGTCTCCAGCACGAGTGCGGATGGTGAGCATGCGCTTTCTCTTTGGCTGGTCGGGGGCGTCCTTTTCGGCCTGCTTCTCCTCGGGCGTCTTCTTCTTGGGAAAGCGAGGGCACTTCTTGCAGCGCCTGTGCTCGCACTGGACACAGGTCCTGTCGGCGCCATAGAGGGTGCCGCAGCGGTGGCAGGTGCGGTGGACACGCATGCGGATGGGCTTCTCGACACGCTGCAGAGGGGGCATGGGGCCCGGGGCAGCGATCCACTCATGAGACTCGAGGGTGAGACCATACTTTGCAAAGAGAGCGTGGGCACGCTCCTGCTGCATGGCGTTGCGGTCCAAGGACTTTGAGGCTGGGGCGGGGCTGTCATGTTGTTAGTAGTGTTGGTGTTGTTGTCTAACTGTGAGACTCACGTGGCGGGGATGGGCTGGGCAGTGGTGGTGTCTTTTGCACCTTCATTGTCGATGGATGGAATTTCTTGTTGTTGTTGTTGTTGTTGTTGCTGTTGCTGTTGGGGAGGTGGTGATGCGGGGGCAGGTTGCTGCTCCTGCAGTTTTTGCTGTTGTTGTGGCTGAGGTGGTGGTGGTTGTGGTTGTTGGGCTGCAGCCGCAGAAGAAGAGGAAGGAGCGTCCGGGGCTGAGGCAGGCGGTTGCGACTTGGAGGAGCGGTCCCTCTTGAAGACGGTGCTCATTCTCTTTACATATTTGCCCAGGCCCGTCTTGGCCTTGTCCTGGGCCGGAGGATTGGGCGGCGTCGACATGGCTGGTGGTGGTAGTGGTGGCAGTGACAATGACAGTGACAGTGACAGTGCGGGCGATGTTTGTTGGTGGTGGTGGTGGTGTGCAGTGCAGTTCAGCAGCTCAGCAGTAAGAGGGTGGAGGGTGCAAGGCCAAGGTCGTGTCCAAATCCCTGGAGTCTGGCCACTGGGTCAACTGGTCGGGAGGGACACCGAAGGCTTGGTAGGCGAACCCCACTGGCGCCCGCAGCCAATACACACACACACTACTCGTACCCTTGGGGCTCTTGTGCTGGCGAGACGGGCGGATGGGTCGGTGGCTTGAGATGGCAGTGTCCAGGTCTGATTCTCATGCGCCCCGTCGTGTCTAAGTAGGTATGTATGTATGCCCCATGCGTCGCCGCCATTTCAATCAGGCCATGGCAAGACTTGGTGGCATAGCCTGTTGTTGGCTGCTGGCTGCTGGCCGTCTCCCGGCGTGCTGGGATCGACCCCGAACTACTCGCAAGCGGCCCGTTGGTGGCCAAGGCACCACACTCACCCTCCCTGCTCGGCCGACTGCGGCCACGGGCTTTTTTCCCTATCACCATTGCCATGTCCATATGTACGTCCGCGCCTGCACCAGGGCCAAACAAGACACGCATCCGTGTCCGCGGCTACGCACAAGACTGGGTCTGCCTGTGGGGATGCATATTCCATACAGTACTGTAGCATTGCTATATCCTGCCCATGTACTTACAGAGCCTAAGTACACATGTCAATCAATACTCAGGTATATTGCCTCAGCTGCACCGTCACATCGCTTGCCCGCCTGCCCGCTGCACTCGGACGCCCAGCGGCCACGCCGTCCAAGGCCAATGACTGCCCATTCACTGCCCTACACATACGTAACTAGATACGCATACCCAGCGATATACCACCGACAGAACGGCCGTCAGCCTGCCTGGCCTGGTGGCTTGGGTCCAGCTGCACCGCTCCCCGTGAGCTGGGTCGCGGGCTGGTGCTGGTGCTGGTGCTGGTGCTGGTGCAATGGCAATGTCATGACCGCTGCTTCCGCCCACCTGGACTCGTCGCGCCCGCCCGGCCCTTCTTTTCGCCTCACCCACCACCATCCGATCCCAATACCCCAGCATTCCGCATGCGCTAGCACCACGACTCCATGTAACACATCGATGCCATGCCATGCCACTCTCTTCGTCTCCCTCGTCTAGGTACCAGTACCTACGCACTACTTACTACTTACTATACTACTCTACACAATCACATGTCTGCACATGTCTCTCCATTCTCTCCCCCTCATACTTATCTCCAGCCTGGCCTAAGCCATGCCCAGCCCAATGTCCGCCTCGACTAGTCCCACTCCTGCGCTGCTTGAATTCCATCAGCACTAACCACGCAGCCACCCCCCCCAATAGTCATCACCACCATCATCAAATGTCACTATCATCGCTTCCGTCATCTCCGTCTTTATGCCTTGCATCCCATGCTTTCATCATCATCCCCCCCGTAGCTTCAAAAAAAAACCACAATACAAACTTCCATGCCGCCCGCTACAGCATAAACCTGCCGAATCAGACACCTCGCTTAAGCCCCCTCGCAACCCGCGCCCGTTTCCCAGTGCCCAAAACGTACCACTGTTGCGGCATGCTCAATACTCTGCCTCCCCCAACCCCTGCTCCCCTTCAAACACGGCCCACATCTCTCCGACCACTCTTTCACATTTCCTCTTCAGTCCAACCACTTCATCCGTTCATCACCAACTTTGACATGCGAGCAAAAGCATAATAAAACAAATATTAAGGATTAGCCCTGCTTACCAGTTACCCATCTGCCGAGACGCAGGGTCACAAAATAATAACAAAACGGTGTCCCGATGCAACGGTCCGACTTCCTCGTCTCGACCTTCCCTCTTCCTCACCTTTTGTTTTTCCCATACGCATCATCACATCACTTCCTAATACTGTACCTGCCTCATAACATGTTAATGCAAACCTCCCCACACCCCCCCTAGTTGGGCATCCTTTTCGTCTTGTCTCTTTTTTTCTGCTCGAGCCGAATTTCTCAAATCGGGCACCAATCAGAACAAGGGCAAAGGAGAAGAGAGAGAAAAAAAAAGGCTAGAACGTCACACTAGGCCGTGTACGCGCATCCCATAGTAGGTAGCGTCCGCGCCTGCACCTGCGCGCACACACTTTTGTCTCTCCCCTCGCCTCGCGCTTTCCCCCCCCACTGGTGTTTGACTCGATGCTCGAGTTTGCCACTCAGGTGGAGCCTTCCTCCCCCCTATGCTTGTATAAAACAGGGCTTCATGTTATGAGATTGCGTCGGCATGCCTCAATGGGATATCGTCGCGATCCGGGGCACACGTTGATAGGATATGCTATCGTATTTGAGAAATGGACTAGGTAGGGGATTGAGCTCGTGTAAAAGTAGAGAGGGGAAATTGGGATCTCCTATACTCTTGTCTCTTCTCTACATGTCAATACGAAGGAAGAGAAATTTGACAACTGACACTCGCTATACATGTGCACGGCAGACACTAGATAGACAGGAGAGTCTCTTATATGTAGACTACAATGCAACGCTAAAGAACAACATGCTAACTACATGGCCGATTGCAGCGCCAAACGCCCCTTCCCCATCCAACCAGATAAACAAACAAACAAACAAACAAACAACCATTCATTCTCCCTCTCTTCTTCCACAATGCCATTTTCTTACTTACAACTCCCCCTCCCATGCTATACTTACAATCTGCCCCCAACTACAACCTACTATCCCATCCCCTCGCGCCCTCACCCTCCCACCTCTCGGGCCACACCTTACCCAGCGCCTCCCAAATATGTCCCACAAACTCAATCTTGAGGCCCCGTACAACCTCCTCGGGCAACTCACTAGCATCCTTTCGATTGCCCTCCGGCAGCAACACTCGCTCTACGCCCGCACCCAAAGCCCCAATCAGTTTCTCTTTAATACCTCCCACAGGGAGCACCCGGCCACGCAGCGAAATCTCACCAGTCATGGCCAGCGTCGGCGGAACAGGCTGATTGCTAAAGAGCGAGATAAGACCAATGGTATGCGCAAGCCCGGCAGACGGGCCGTCTTTGGGAATCGCTCCGCTGGGACAATGCACGTGGATGCTGCGGTTCTTCATGATATCCTCGTCGTGCGTTGTGCTGAGCCCCAGGTCGAACGCGTGCGCCTTGACCCACGTTAGAGCAACTTCGACGCTTTCCTTGAGCACGTCGCCCAGCTTGCCCGTCAGCTGCACCCGTCCTTGGCCTGGCATGTCTGCAATCTCAATGAACAGGATGGATCCCTGGCCACCGGTTGAGTAGGCTACTAAGCCTGTGATTACGCCGGGTCGCGCAGACTGCTCAGTTACTTCTTGGGCAAACTTTTCAATTCCTAGCGTTGCCTCGACGTCTTCTACAGTCACGACTGGAGAATAGGCCGCTACTGTGTTTGTGTCTTTGGCCGTCGCATACTCGACTGCCTTGGCCCGGCAGACTGATCCAATCTCCCGTTCCAGATTTCGCACTCCAGATTCCCGAGTGTACGATGTGATGATCTTGTCAAGCACCTCGGTCGGAATCTGAATGTGCTCCGTCTGCAGTCCATTCGACGTAATCTGTTTTGGAATCAGATGCCTCGAGGCAATGTGTCGTTTCTCAAGCGTCGTGTACCCCGATAGCTGGATAGTCTCCATGCGGTCCAACAGCGGAGGCGGAATTGTGTCCAGCGAATTGGCCGTGGCAATGAAGAGAATCTTGGACAGATCAATGGGGATATTCACATAGTGATCCGTGAATGTGTGGTTCTGCTCTGGATCCAGTACCTCGAGCATCGCCGCGCCGGGGTCGCCGTTGTGGTTTGACATGCCGAGCTTGTCAATCTCATCCAGCAGGAAGACGGGATTTGCCACTCCCACCTTCTTCAGTCCGTTGACAATAAGACCGGGCATAGCTGCGACATATGTCCTGCGATGGCCTCGAATCTCGGCTTCGTCGCGAACACCACCGAGTGAAATGCGGTGGAACTTGCGCCCGAGTGCAGTCGCAACAGACTTGGCTAGCGATGTCTTTCCTACACCAGGCGGACCCACCAGAAGCATAATGGGCGACTTGTCAACCATGCGCTTCTTCTCCAGGAGCCGCACTTCGGTCTCGGACGGCTCTCTTGTCACCTTCTGTGTAGCCACCGGTTGCTTGGCCTCGGCCTCGGCCTCCGCATTGGGGGCCTCGGTCAAGGACCGGATCTGATCATCAATGGTCTTGTTTGCCTGTTCCTTGAGTTTGAGCACGGCAAGATACTCGAGCAACCTCTTCTTAATCTTTTCCAGGCCGTAGTGGTCATTGTCCAGCTGCTGTTTCGCTCGCACCAGCGTGTTGGAATCCAGCTGATCAACCGTCATCTTGCTCCATGGAATCTCTGCAAGGTTCTCTAGATAGTTCCGGCACACCTGGTACTCCGCCTGCGCTGGATTCATCTTCTGCAATCTTGCCAATTCGCGCTGTGCCACTTTATTGGCCTCTGCTGATAGCTTTGCATCCTCGAGTCTCTTCTTGAGCTCATCAATCTCATTCGGTTCATCTTCACCCGCCTGCTGTGCTCCTCCTCCAGGAAACCCGGCGGGGAAGCCAGGGGGCATACCACCCATCTTGGACCGCCTCTTGAGAGCCTCTTGTTGTAGCTTCCGTAGTGTGTCCATGTCCAATGTGCCGTTGGATGATTGTGTAGTCGCAACCGTCATGCGCGTGTTGCCTTGGATGTTGCTGATCTGCCGTTGTAGAATCTCAATGACCCGGTCAACCCTCTCCTTGACATCTACAGACGCCAGTACGCGCAACGTCTCTTCGTGTGTGGTATCCACCACATTGGCCATGAAGTCGGCGAGTAAGCCCGCATCTGACAGGTCCTTTCGTGTGATGAACATTTCCAGTCTCCGTGCGACAATAGGCGAAAGTGTGACTTGTGGTGTGCGTGGTAGTATGGCGGATAGTCGGACGAGGGCGAGTAGCTCGCGTGACAACTGCTTGAGGAGGTTGAACTGGTTCAGGAGGTCTGCACTCGCGATGTCGACTGGAAGTTGTTAGCTTGCCACATGCACATGGGTAGAAACAGGTGTAGACATACTGTATTCCTCAACAGCTGCCAACTCTCCCTCAAAGTACGGCCTCTCTTGCACAACATCAACAACCTGGACCCTCTCGAGTCCCTCGACAATCAGGCTCAAATCGCCCTGTTTACGGCCCTGCACCCCGCTGACTTTTGCCACACAAGCCCACCCAAAGATATCCTTCTTTGTCGCCAGTATGGGATCAGACTCATAATGCGTCTTGTCGCGCTGATGTCCATCCTCAATCAACATGTTGCCATCCGACCCCAGTGTATTCGACTTCAGCGGCACACACGCGACCGTGATGGCGGCATCCGGCTTAGCCGTCGGACTGATACTGTATATCTTTGCGAGGATAGCAGCGACATCGGAACGATTGGTTATCGGTATCTTGAGCGTGGTACCGGGGAGCACTGCGAGGGGTGGCGCAAGCGGGATGAGCGGGAGCACCGTCGTGCTCGTCTTGGACGAGCCCTTGCCCATCATGACCACCTACTATAAAACAATGAACGGGGGGAAAAAAGCTGAGAAACTAGGAGTTCAAAGGATAATGATGATGATGAGAAGGAGGAGGAGAGAGTGAGGGGGAGGGGGAAAGGAAAATGATGTTGGACCAAATCCGATAATAGTGGTTCGTCTGGTTCGCGTTGGTGACGTGCGGAGTTGGTACCGCTGGGATCAGTGGCGGGAGGGTGCGGACTTTTGTCCCCTAAAAGAACCAGAATCAAGGAGCAAAGCAACCCCCAGCTGAACTTGAGTGATTCAGCACTCACGCGCGCGCGCCAAAATGTATAGTAAACAAGAAACAAAAAAGCAATTCTGTTGATATGCCCTCTTGTCACGATAAGCCAGCTCTATTTATTTACTCGCTCGTCACATAAATGAAAGGAGCGCGCCATGCTTGTGTGTGTACTTTCCAGAAGATACGGTCGCTTCTCTCTTTTTTTGTTGATCCCCGCCGCTCTCTTCTACGGCAATCTCGTCGCGCGGCATCATCACGGACCCTTCTCTTTCTCTCCTCGCTCGTGCTTGGTATTCTCTCTCTCCCCTCCCCCCTTCCCCAGGCCGAGGTTAAACGTGCCGACGACGAATCACGTCAGGCGCGTTGCCCAGACTTTCCCCATCTGATAAGATGACCTCCGCACTTTCCCGCACCTCCGTCCCGCGAACTTTGGGTCCCCCGTTGTTGCAACACTAGCATACAAACACGTGAACGCATGTACGTTTACTACTCGCATACGTATGCATCTTGTAGTTGTGTATAGTGGTGCTCCGTAATCGGATGCAGAGATCTGCGCTTCTTCTTTTTTTTTTTTGAAACCCTTCCTCCATGGATTGACGAACCCAAAGAGGGATATTCTGTACGTTGGTTGTGGCACGGCATTCTGACCACATGCAGTCAATCGTGCACATGTCTACAGACTTGGACTGCTAGGATAACAAACCTATCTATTCTGTTTCTGCTTAGAAACATACATGTGTCCAACCCTCCTCGAGGTATTGCTAACCTACCTGCATACCAAATGCACACCCTCAACCCCCGCTGCAAATGCTTTCAAGAATCCGTCTAGACATTGATTCCTTGTCCCATGCATTCCGTTTCCTACCCACCATGACAAGTCAGACACATTTAGAACGTTCACGTATCGTGCATTTCCCATGACATGCTCTATCCGACCCCCTCCAAAAATATCATCATTGCCACCCAGGAAACAAATAAATCATGCCAAGTCCATCGTTACACTGCAGCGCCATTCTCACCACCCTACTCCTCATGTCGGCGTGTTTCTGCCGTGGGTAGCAGTCATGCTGTAAGGGGCCTAACAATGAACCTCGTTAGCTATGCCTTTCTAACCAAACCAGCACGCAAGTGACTTACCAAGACTTTCTTCGCATTGCAGATGCGCCAGGCAAGGTTCCTAACCGTGCCGTCCGCTTGTACAACCTCAGGTGCGAACTCGATACCAAACCTGGCCACCATTAGTCCCTTGTCTTTGCAAAGCCCAAGCAACAGCCATCTACTTACATCTGGTGTACTGCAAAGACTACGCGCTTGGCAAATTTGCCATGGCGCTCGACTCGGCTGCCAAAAGGCTCCTCAGGCGTCGAAGGCGCAACCTCTGGGTCGCGGTCAAAGCAGTTCTGGATAATGGGGAGAAGCGCCGCTTCCACGGCCCGATGCGTCGTTCCATTCTCGTCCACTTCCACGTCGTCCTCGTCAAACTTTGGAATCTGAATCTCAAAGGCCTGTGAGAGTGCCATGACGTGGTGTCCACCGTCATGATGGTACCTAAATTCAAAGACACCAGTGGTCCACCAAAGCTTGTCTCCTCGGAACTCGACTTCGCCAGTGTAGCAGTCGGATGCTTCTTCATCAGCAGCGTTTGCAGCTTGTAGCTTGTCAGAGACTAGTATGCCATCGTCGGCACGAGCAGAGTCAAACATGTCCCTGTTGGTGGCGACCCATCGTCCATTCGAGCTGATGTGTGTAACCTCGCGAGATTGGTTGTCGGCGACCATGTACAGACCAATCCAGTCCTTCTTGCTGTGATTCAGAGGAGCTTGCCAACGAACCTTAATGGGGGCGCCGTATTCCAGGGCCAGTGTCTTGAAATCATTTGTCCGTACTGCCGGAATCCTGGCAAGCTCGCCTTCGCGGCCGCCATTCCTCTGCTTTTCAACAGTCGCCGGTAACAAGGTTCCTTCAACCACTAGCCTGTATTGCTTAGGGTCCAAACCAGACATGTCTTGTGAAGCCCGGCCGATTGTAATCCGCCTTGGAGAGATATTGAAGAGGCTCGTCACGTTCTGGGCAAATGCACTGAATTTAGCGGCAATCTTTGGTCTTGTATCATCCAAGAATTTTTCAATCTTTTCCATCATGGAGTTGATGTACTGGTCGGCTGCCGACTGCCACTGGCGGACTGGATCAGGCAACGCTTGACGCACAGTCTTGCTGACACCTGACATTTCGCGGAGGTTGCGGCCATACAACTAGAGAGATCGAGTTAGTAAGTCATGCAGGTTGGTTGTGTTCAGATGCGCTCCACATAGCCTCTTGGTCCAGGCCGAGGTCGGGGTGGTATAACGATTCCGTGTGGTGTGTAACAAGCGTTTGCGACTTACCTTGATCACATGTGGTTTCTCTACGAATTGCAGGAATGCGAGATTGAGGACGTGGGCTGTTGTAGCGAGATAGAAGACTGCTGGGCTCCAAGTTATGATTGCTACACCCCAGACACCAGCGAGCCCAAGAACACGCTCTGGATTGTTGAGGAAGCGGTAGATGCCACTGTAGGTAAGCGATTTCGAAGGGGGGTCGAAAAAGAAGTCTCCACAAAACCATCCAAACTCCCCAAGCGATTCGTATATGCTCATAGCAACCCACAGCTGGAGGGCGATCATGGCTGCACCAAGAACGTGTCGAAAGAGCGCAAGTCCGCTCAAGCCTTGGGGAGGGAGGCTGTACATTTTCCAGGCAAGTGCGACGAAGCTGGCGTGGCTCATGGTCATGCTCATGTGGTAAAGGGACTTCCACTGGCGCCATGCCTCTTCTTTGGTATCGCCATACTTGATGAAGTGCTTAGTCCAGTTCTTTTTCTTGGACTGTCGGTCCAGGATGTAGCCTAGGCCCAATGCATACCATAACCGCCATCCGAAAGCATTGATGAAGAGGAATGCTTTCACCGTCCACGTGTTAGGAGTCAGCACCGCCAAGCATATCATATAGAACGAAAGCAGTACTATTGTGACATCTATGGAACGATGGAAATCCGTGTTCAGAGGTCCTACAATGTGGTGCGTTGGGGCAGGTTGCTTAGAGGGGTCGTGGACGGCGTCACCGAATCCGAGTTCGGATTGACCAGTCTTGGGCCGATCTTCGTGAGCAGCCTCCCCAGAAATTTGGCGCGTGCGGCGGGGAGGAGCTGGGTTGTACGTCGCTTCAATATGGGGCTCCTCTACGATGGACAAGAAAGCAAATTGCGCAGCATGGGCGATGATGGAGATTGCTAGAACTTTGTAGCTTGCCGTCATTAGGGCAATACCATAGTATCCGGCATACCCGATCGAGTACATGGGGCTGTGTGCAGGGGTAGCGCGTTAGTATGTCTTTGGTTCAACGACGCAACAGAGGGTCTTACTGCGGTGCCATCTCGAAAACGCCGTCGAATGTCAGGCTTTGGTCAATGAGGTAGAAAAAGTCACCCCAGTACCATGCAAAGTCCTTGACAACTCGGTGCGCATCAAGCTTGACCCAAAGGTTGAAAAGGAAGAGGACGACGCCCGTCGTCCATCGCAAAGCCCACAGGAACCAGCTTTCCTGGGGCCGGTTGAAACAGGCGATGGCGAAAAGGCAGTATGACACGAAATCACACATCAGAATCAGGTCTACCACACGTCTAAACACGAGCCATGTGTTGTACTCAAGCGGCGCTTCTTCAAACTTGTAATCCTCTGGGATCTTGATCTCCAGCTCACGCTTGAGAAGTTTGTATAGGGCCGGGTGTGGGTTTTTGCCTGTTTCGGGATTCTCAAAGATGTGGCTCTGCTTCGCCCACAAAACGAGGCGGTTGTGCTTGGACTGGCCGTCGAGCAGCCAGCCAATGCCTGCATTGTAGCCGGCGCGCCAGAAGAGGAAGACTATTGCGAATACGGGGATGCGGGCGCTTTTGGGCAGTACAAAGAAGGTCAAAATCATAGAAGCGAGCACACCAAGGACTGCTAAATCCGACAGGTTTTTAGGTTGTGAGGGCGAGAGAAGTTGTGAGACCATGTCGTGGGTCTGGGGAACAACGAAAACTGCATTGGAGAGTCAGTATTGAATATCAGCTTTGCAAAGAATGAGGAGTTCCTCGTGTATGCAAGATAATTGTCGTTTTCTCCGGTGGTCTTCGGTGACGCGAAACATACCTGTACCATCTGGAGTCCTTCCGTAGGTTCGCTTTCTGCTGGCATCACCTTTGTACTTTTTATTTTCCTCGTCGTTCAACTGCAGAACCTTTTGCTTAGCATCGTCTGCATTGTTGAGATGTAGTGGTTTGGCGTTTGGCCGCTCTCGCAGCTGGCTACCGTCGGCCATGGGCCCGTTGCTAACATCAGCCATGTTGGCTGGGACGCGAGCAACTGGATAGGAAGCAGGTTGCCTGGAGACCAGATGGGTGGGGGGTTCTCCCGACTGATATCACAGCGACAGCCAAGGCTTGAGCGCTAGGTGAACTGCCGTGTTCAAGTGACTGTCCGGCACTGCAGGGCGTTGGAGCTGAATGCGCCGGCGCGGCTGTAGATTCTGATTTGTCTCTGTGTGGCCGCAAATCTCGCTTCTTGAATACGGACCAACGAGAGGGCTCAGAGTGTTGAACTCTAGCTAGCGTGTGAATGTTGAACGTGGGATGGAAAGGGAACAAGGTCGCGGGCAGTGCAGTTTGTGTGTAGCGCGCGAAGGAAGCGTGGGTTAGCGGCACGTCACTGTGTGGGGCTCTGGCATAAGCCGACTTGGCCCGAACTGGTAGTCATGGGCCGAACTGCCGTTCAGCACGCCCCAGTAGCACGTGAAATGAATTTTACCAGTAGTATACACTCGTCTTGTTACTGTCTTTTTTGGCAACAAATGTGGATACAAAGCGGTTTTATTGAAATGACTTCCATTGTACTGTAGCCATGCTGGTTGGCGAACAAAAAATGCCTCCCCCACTGCAGTGTCGCACCAAGAAGCCCAGGCAGCATGGGGGAGAGTGATCGAACACAAAAGAACAATTTCGATTGAGAAATGGCATTCGATGCGCCAATAAAAGAGCCACTATTCCTTGCATGTATGCATGCATGGGAAGTGGGGTAATATACCTCCAGTATCCGCCTGTCGTGCCGTGACATCTACCCATCACACAGAGTTCACCCTGCATCTCTTGGGCCTGCCAGCATTGCCTGCCTCCTCGTCTAGTCTTTGCTGCCGCGGAGCCCTGTGATCCCAAGACTGCCTCCTTGCTTCCTCAACACTTCTCTCAAACAAGTTTTTTCGGATTTGGTTGTGCAGTGACAAATTTGGTGAGGCGACATGTATCCATGCTACCACCCAATCCCCCGCCGTCCAACGTTGTCGCTGCTATTGATGAGGCAAGACGTAGTTCAGCGAACTGTTGGTCTAACTGCATATCCTGATCCTTGTAGGTGTTTTGGGGTTCAAAAAGAGCAGCCTCAGGGCTGAACACAAACTGCTTTGATGTGCAGGTCATGGGCAAAAGCCACGTAGCGCCTGTCTGTGCCACATACTGTGCACATACTGTGCTTTTGATGATCGCTAAATCGGACCCATCAGCACCTAAATGGTCATCTGGTGCGATGTCGTCAATAGAGGTAGAGTTGCTACAATCCTTTTGAAACAAAGATGATGCCATCTTGTCCACCCAACCGTTCCACTGCCCATCTCTGGCTTCTGGTTCTTCCGGGTATGAACATAGGGTAGAGACCGAGGCAAGGTCTGGTATCGTTGACGAGACTGTTGTAGATGGCGACGAAACTGTCTCGGCAAGATAGATATTTGCTTTGCAGGCTTGGAGATTGTTGAGGAAAGCTTGTTCATCACGCTCTCGATTTTGAATTTCTTTCTCCAGGTGGCGCATACTTTGTCGGATCTTCTTCTTTTTCCTAACAGGCAAGGACGAGTCGGCAGCAAGCCGGCGTTCATTCCGACTTTGCTTCTTCCGTAGCGCCTGTAAATAGGTTACGCAGTTGGCGAGTCCGTTCTCCAATAAGTCCTTTTCAAGCTCCAGTCTCGATACCTGGACGGAATAGGGAAATGTGTCTTCAATGGGGAAGAAGTAATTACCACGTGTGACGGAGGCCATCCAAGGCTGGCATGAATCGGCATAACACTTCATGATGAGAGACATGGACAGGTATCGATATAATAATTTTTCACGGGATCTCGAGCGAACACAACGTGAGGCGGACACGAGAGTATTGTATGGTTGTGTCCAGCATGGAAAACCAAGGCTGGCGCTGGGGTCGGCTGGAGCCGTCCCTCGCATGATGGTCGGAGGCGGCGAGCTACCACGTCTAGAATCCAATGGAGATCACATCGTCTTGGCGAAGGGCTGTTCCAATAACTCAGGAGGCGCAAAGTTCGGGAGGCAAAAGGGGGGCGAGGACTCAAGGAAGCCTTTGGAAGAGCATTTGCTGAAAGCCCGTCACAACAGCCAGATCACGAGCGTCGCGGCCAGAGACTAGGTTCGCGCCGTTTGGTCATGGTGCAGGATGCAACTTTCGTATCCAGCAGCTGGGAACGCCACGGCCCTCGAAATGGTACTATTTTGCTATTGTTCGCTTCCGACAATCAGAAGCGTTACAAAGGGGTTCCGGGAGGCTTGTCGGCGAGAGCCCTGTGCTGAGAGTATTGTCGAGCAAGTCGGCCAAAGGCGACTTGCGATTGGTCCGAGCTAGTTCAAGTCGGGTAGCGCAGACTACGAAGAAGGTTCCTTGATGTCTTTGTATGAGAAGCTTTCTGGCGTTCTGGGGCGTGAAAGGAGCATTTGCAAGCAAGGGGCCACAATTTCTCGTGACTAAAGATACCTATATTCAGCTTTATTCAACCGGTACTGAGGGCAGCTGAAGGCACCTTTGGACTCGTTTCCACAGCTCTAGCCATGGTCGTTGTTGGTCCATGATAATGTTGCGAGATTGGTATGCAAGGGGGGACGCCGTGGGTAAATGGTGGGCAGCATCAGATGCGCATCATTACACCGGGGCCACGGGAGCCTCGGCGGGAAAACAGGCGTCGGGAAGGGGATTTCCAGTCATTCAATCGCAATTCTCATCAGTTCAATTCTTGAACAGGACGAGGCCGGCGATATGATTACCCTAATAGGTACAAGGTCACGCCACGGTGGTGAGAGGAGGCTGCTTCTTCGCGGTCGTTGGAACAAAGTACGTCAGCCGCGTCGGTACCTGCATGTGCGCAACACTGTCGTAATCGTTCATGACCAGGAATGCTGTCGTATGTTTATACCAGTGGCTGGCACGTTCTGTAGTTGGGCGACGAGCCTATTGCTTGTGTGTATAGTAGGCGTTGAGCATGGCGGCATGTCGTAGTATGTAGACGAGGCTCCACTCCTCCTTCCTGCCTTCCCCCGCAGTACAGTGCGTGCCCAAGTAATAGCAAATGCTGCGATGGAACTCAATCCTTCAACACAATCAACCCAACTGCAGCCAACCGAGCATTCACCATCCAACCCCCATCCATGGCTGCGAGTCCAGCTGTGCCGTTCTCACCTCATCCTGTGTGGGTGCACTTCACCTTTCTCATTACTCGGACACATGTGTCAAGCCCCGTGTCTGGCTCCGCTGTGACGGCATCGGCTATGCATGCTATGCATGCCATGCATGCCATGCAGGCTGTTCAGCAACCCCGCAGCACCGATGTGCATACTAACTGAGTGTACAACCAGGCCGGGAAACTCTCTTCGCGCTTTGTCGCGGCCATGCTGGAGGGACTACTATATGGCGCCGTGCAACGTGTGCCTGAGCGGGTTTTTCGGCCTTGGTTTCCCCACACAAGAGGATTTGCGTACGTACTCTAGCTGCATGGCCAGCCATGGATGTCAAACTCACCTGTCGGTCCTCGTTCGGTAGACAGTGACGTCACCACTGTAGCCCTATAGCATCCAGAGCATCCAGAGCATCCACCGGTCAGCCAGGTCCCCTTCTTGCGGGTCCCAATGCTGCTTGTCCTGCAATCTACTGAGGCGGGGTTCCTGGTGACGACGGAACATCCTTCCTACGCCATGAGCGCTTTTGGCGTACCGCTACGGAGCGTGAGAGCCATAGCCGTCTTGATTTGCTGTCCTGTGGCGGGTGACATGAACACCACAGCCACTAGTCAGGTTAAACATGTCCGGGAAACGCCTCGGTCATGTAGTATTGAGATGTTTGAAATGCACATCTACCGGCCCTTTAGTTACCGTCAGCTACCGCATAGCATAAGCCTCTAGGTACCCACATTACGTACTTTTCCCCTACTTACTATAAGTATTACCCAGCATCCATCACTTTTGGAAACCAACAAGACTGCTCGTCTCGAGCCAAAATCTGCACCAAACAAACTGACTCAAAGCTTTGCAACAATATGGCCGCCAAAATCATCGACATTCGTGTCGATACAGTCGGATCCGATATCCTCGCTGATATCAAAAAGGGCCTTCGGCCGGTTGCCGGTGCCGAGAAAACTTTGCCCACGTTGCTGCTCTACGAGTAAGCAGGCACACATCAAGCTAAAGGTACCTGCTAATGTCCTCCCCATCTCCACAGCCAGGAAGGACTCCGTCTATTCGAACAAATCACATACCAGGAAGAGTGAGGAACTCCATCCACTAGGGGCTTGGCTGTCAAGCTGACAAACATCCATCGCATCAGGTACTACCTGACTAATGCCGAAATTGAGGTGCTTGAAACGTATGCGGATAAAATAGCCCAACGCATTTCGCCAGGCTCAATCGTGGTGGAATTGGGGAGCGGGTAGGATCTCGGCTCTCACCATACAAGAGATTGGAAACGAGCCTCGTGCTTCGTAAGTACTAATATCTATGCAGCAATCTGAGAAAAGTCAACATACTGTTGCAGGCCATTGACCGTCTGGGCAAAGATATCGAATACTACGCCGTCGATTTGTCCCTTCCTGAGCTGGAAAGAACCTTCAAACAGATACCCATAGGTGAGTGAGCGCAATTTGACACGGCGTCATTGAATAAGTTGTACGCATAAGCGCATTTATCTGCTCTAGCATAAGGTAAAAGTTTCGGCAGCCGCCATCGGGGTTCGCCTGGGGCCTGCATATGTACAACTCAACAAGCCCCGCGCTAGTCTATCGTGGTACCTATCCATATATCGTATAGGCAGCATGCCAATGCCACATGACTACTTGATTACGAAGGCTTGCTGACCACCCGCGTAGAGGGGTATAGCCATGTCAAATGCTTCGGACTCCACGGAACGTACGATGACGCTCTGGAGTGGCTCAAATCCCCCGCCGTCGAAGCTAAAACCAAGACAATCCTTTGGCTAGGCTCCAGTTTGGGCAACTTCAAGCGTCATGAAGTCCCGCCGTTCCTTGCCGGATTCGGCAAAGTATTACAAACTGGTGATACCATGCTTATCGGTATCGATTCCTGCAAAGACCCCAAAGTATATTGCCTGCCACGAATTGTACGCAAGATAAATACTGACGTCCGACCTACGCTAGCGCGTGTTCCATGCATACAACGACCGCGACGGTGTTACCCACAGATTCATACTCAACGGACTCAAGCACGCAAACGCTCTCATGGGGGATACCGCTTTTAATTTGGACGACTGGGAAGTCATTGGCGAGTATGATACAAAAGCTGGGAGGCATCATGCTTTTGTAGCACCGCGCAAAGACCTCGTGATCGATGGAGTGCCAATCAAGCAGGGTGAGAGAATCAGAATCGAGGAGAGCTACAAATACAGCCACGAAGAAGCCAAGAAGCTATGGGAGCTCGCCAAACTTGCTGAGAATGCGATTTGGGCTAATTCAAAGGGTGATTATGGTGAGTATGCACTGAAGATCATGGAGTCATGACGTGTTTCTGACAGTCTTAGGTCTTCACATGGTCTCCAAGCCCTCGTTCTTCTTCCCTACCACACCAGAAGAATATGCAGCAGGACCCGTGCCTTCTCTCACCGAGTGGCAAGAACTCTGGAAAGCCTGGGATGCTGTCTCGAAGCAGATGATCCCAAAGAGCGAACTACTTGCCAAGCCGATCAAACTCCGCAATGAGTGTATCTTCTACCTAGGCCATATCCCTACGTTTCTCGACATCCACATTGCCCGTGCCACCGACGGAAAGCCCACAGAACCCACATATTTCTGGAACATCTTCGAGCGTGGTGTAGATCCTGATGTTGATGACCCAACCTTATGTCATGCCCACTCCGAAGTTCCTGAAGAATGGCCACCATTGGACACGATTTTGCAATACCAACAGACCATTCGCAAGAATGTTGAGGCGCTCTACGATTCTGGAGAAGCAGAGAACAACGGCCGTGTTTCGCGCGGATTGTGGATAGCTTTTGAGCATGAGGCAATGCATTTGGAGACCCTGCTCTATATGCTCATTCAAAGCGACAAGATCTTGCCGCCTCCAGGAATCAAACAACCGGATTTTGTCGCTTTTGCTGCACTGTCAGAAGTCATGGCTGCGGAAAACGAGTGGTTCACGATCCCAGAGTCTGATGTAGACATCGGACTCAATGACCCAGAGAAGGATTTTGGAAGCAAGCGATACTTTGGCTGGGATAATGAGAGACCCCGTCGATCAGTACACGTGAAGTCCTTCCGTGCCAAGGCCCGCCCTATCACAAATGGAGAATATGCCACATACCTGCTCCAGACAGGCAAGCAAGGTCCGTACTATTCGCACACAACATATTGATCTTGTTTCAGTGGTTCTAGAGTAATTCGTGTCGTCACATGATTGCACCTGGCTGACTTGGCTTTACTAGAATTACCCGCGTCTTGGTGCGACAAGGCTTATTCCAACGGCGACTATACAAACACCACGAAGAGAGACAGTGTTGTCAATGGTCACTTGAATGGCAATGGCGAATCCTCGCAGAGCATCATTGAAGGAAAATTCGTGCGTACCGTATACGGAACTATCCCATTGAAGCTGGCCATGGGCTGGCCTGTTGTCGCATCCTATGATGAGCTTGCTGGGTGCGCGCAATGGATGGGTGGTCGCATCCCCACCATGGAAGAGGCACGAAGTATCTACGCTTACGTTGACAGCATCAAGCCAGAATTTGAGCAGTCGCTCGGCAACACGATTCCAGCAGTCAATGGGTATGTTCTTGAGAGTAGGTCAGGGAGAATCAGATGTCTAACACAACACAGCCACCTACTTAACGAAGGCGTGTTTGAGACACCGCCATCACACCATTTGCTCAACGGCAACTCCGGCGCAGCAACGGGTCTCAAGCCACGCGATCTCTTCATCGACCTTGAGGGGACCAATGTGGGTTTCAAGCACTGGCACCCAGTCTCGGTGGCCGAAAAGGGCAACAAGCTCTGTGGGCAATCCGATCTGGGCGGTGTTTGGGAATGGACTAGTACTGTGCTGGAGAAGCATGATGGCTTTGAGCCAATGGTGCTTTATCCAGGTTACACAGGTATGGGGAACTTCTACGGGCTTCTATCGCTCAGCTTACATGCAATATCATATCGCTGACAGCAAGCAGCCGACTTCTTCGATGGCAAACACAACATAACTCTGGGTGGATCCTGGGCGACACATCCGCGCATTGCTGGGCGTAAGACTTTGTAAGTGCAGCAGAACGAGTGTAGCCAAGACTTTGTCGCTGACATGTTCAAGCGTCAACTGGTACCAGCGTAACTATCCTTATGTCTGGGCCGGTGCCCGTATCGTGACAGACGTGTAGTGGTAGACTGACAACCATATGTGACTTGGATGCGGTCATGACGCTTGTAGTTTCGCAGCCGGACGAAGTGGTAGTAAATGGGCGGAACAACAACGGCTCACTGCAGCCTTCACCGCAGCATTATGGGCCCTCCCCACCACATATATCTCCTTTCGTTTCTTGACAAATTCGCTCGCACTGTTATGTAATTGTTTCGCCATGTCCGGTCACTTCAGTTTCGGTCTACTTGTTACGGTCACGCTCTTTCCATAAATTGCTTAGATGACGTACCATTCGTCCATAGTGAACTGCGCAGTCACCCACATTCCCAAACAGCTTATACTGAGGTGCAATGATCACTCACCTCATCTTTTGCGACAAGCAAACGCCTTGTCTCAGCCCCACAACTATTCTGCACTTCTACTACCAAAATCTCCTAGACTTCTAGTTCCTTACTCAACCACTACCCCATTCAACAGCACACCAATCAGGAGAACACATTCAAGCAGACAACATGGGCAATGGTCTGTTGTTCAAATGGGAAGATTCGCAAGCGCTTAAGTAGGCTATCCCCCGTCTCGTTCGTGTTTTTTCTTGTTGCTATACCATCCTAGTGCGATTGCGGCACCAAAAATCAAGCACCCTGCTAACAGCGTAGTCACCATTGCGGAGTTTGCGCACGTTCTTTGAAGCACCCAGGTGCCAAGTCTTCTTGCTTTGGGAAGCATAGCGAACCATGCGTGCGGTTCCATCAGGTTTGTTATCAACTTCTCTCGTAGCTAATCAAGTATTGACATAGTGCAGGCCATGTTCATGCGCCTGCGCGGCCATACCTGCAAACACTGTCTAGCCATTGATGACGCCCATTACAAGAGACACCAATGCATTGCTGAGCAGCTGCACGCTGTCTATGAGAGCTGTGGTGAGATCAGTTGGACTATAATTCCGCCCGTACCCGAAATTGCGACTGAAGAGATATCGAGAGATACCAATAACTCGTGGGAGTATGGTACCGAAAATGACTACGTAGCCGCTATTGCAGGTATGCCGCCGTCAAAGCGCGGCAAAAAGGACGCAAAGCATTTGACCAGAGCGGCGAGCAGGTCAAGAGCGATCACCCAGGAAGAGATTCAATACATCGATTCTGTCATCCGCTCTGATGATGGTATTACTAGCAATGAAACTGAAGGGCTGCGCAACCCTGAAGAGGTGGACGAGATTGAGAAGCAGCTTCGCGTAAGTAGCCTGATACTGACTCCTGTGACCAGTCCATATCTGTCTTTTCACTAACAATCCCCTAGTATCATGCACAAGTATACAACGCAAGAGGAAACCGCGACCGGCTTGAAAGCCTCACAGACAATCCCAGCAAGATGGAAGAAACGGAATTTGATGCCGAAATGAACCGGATCCTAAACATCTTTCACATCACAAAGCTACTCAAACGCAATACCAACACAAAAGATTTACAAGGAAAAGAGCTCGAAATATTCCTCGCGCTTGTCAGTGCCTTAAAATTGGCTATAACTGAGGACATCGTGCAAGTCAAGAAAGATATTGTGGAGGTGCGCATGCGGCGAGCAGGCTATCTACGATACGTCAACAGAGCCTCATATGAGATTTTAGGGGACAGGTATTCCACTAAAAGCTGGAAAGCGGGCGGGAAACCAACGACGAGCGCAGTGAATCCAAGTGACATGCCAATTACAGCCACGAAAAACAATGCATCATCAAGGTATGTTGTCCATTTGCCATTTCTAAAAGTCAATCTCATCTGTTGTATGAGATGGAAAGCTAACATCACGCCAGCGATCAGCGAGAGGACCAGCAGCCGAGAAAAAGCTGGGCAGGGAACGGCTCTGACCGAAGGCATCTCGAGAACATACATCAGCGTGTAAATAGTGATGATGGGCTTCGCGAGGCGACCATTGAACCTTACCAAGCGCCATTGCTACCTCTGCTGCCTGATCCCACTCCTGGTCGAGCGCCTGTCTCAGTGAGAATAACCAACACCAAGACATTACAGCAATCTACAAACCCCATGCTAGCTCATGCGAAGAAGATAGTTATGCCATCATCCTCAGATGGCTGGATCACTACTATCAATGGTACAAGGTCCAAAGCACTCGCTCTCAGGCCGCCCGTCTGGGAGGGTTTCCCAAGCCAGCAGTGTCAGCTCGCTGAGACTCCATTACACACAGAAATATCACCCTTGGGTCAGTTTTCTACGTATCGCAACTCTTTTGATGAATCTTTCTTTAATGCCCCGGCTGCCAAGAACTCCTTGACCCAATTATCTAAAGAACCAGAGACCTTCGCCACAGAATCAGAGGAGAAAACTGCCACCGAGCATGTTATAGTCTCAGAAAAGAAGAAATCCAAAAAGCTACGCGAGTCGAAGCGCAAAGCTAGGAGGCTTGACATGATGAGAAACACTGAAGCTTCCATCGCCAGCAAAGCAGCAAATGAAGAAATTACCGAAGCTACTGATACATCATTTTGTGAAATTTCATCATTGTTGAAAGGTGGCAGCCGGAGCTCAGATGCGGAAGAAATTCCACTAGCATTGCCGAGTCAAGATGTAGACAGCATTGGCTGTGACATTGTTCAGGCATCGAAGACTACCGGATCTACCACAGTGTATATTCGGGATAAATCCACAGTCCCTCTTCCTGGGTCTGTGCCGGTCACAACGCATGGAAAGCAATCGCACTGGAGAGATTTTGTACTCAACTTGACTGCTGATCAGCTAACAAACCCTTTCCTACCGTCATGGGGTGGTTACTCATACGAATCTTGGTGCATTTTCGAGAAGAATCATATCTTGGACTGTCCATTTCACCCGCCTCGTACGTGCAGTCTAGCTGTCTCCTAGCATCAAGTATTGACAAAAGTTCAGATTGCTCCTGCGTCGACCCCACAACAGACCAATGTTTCCTCATTATGCCTGGCGACAAGCCATGTACTAGCGGGCCTTACAACCGTCTCCGTGGTGAGAAGCTACTATCAATTTACGAAAATGATGCTAGAGTTCAGGGCTGCCTGATGCTCGTTGATGCTGATTTTATTAACTACCTTGTAGGAGACCTGTCGAATCCGGCTTGGTTTCCCAATCTGGACCTCGAACCAGGACGTCTAGCCCAAGAGATTGCAGATTTCCATGACGGTCTTGCGCCTGGACCTCTCATGAAACAAGAGTACCAATACCATCGTCTCAAATGTAGCAACAAGCTCAAGAACCAACAGCTTATACTTGATACACTACTAGAGATTCGGCGCGAAGCCTCTGGGCGGCGTGGACAGCTCCATATTTGCTATTGCAATATCGCGATACCGGAAAACCCTTCTCCTTCTCTACACGAGGACCTGATAACGTGCTCATACCAATATTGCACCATTAAGACCTTTCACAAGTCGTGCGTCAAGAAGCTTGGCATGGAGAATGTATCGCGTTGGTACTGTACGCATTGCGAGAAGCAGATGCGACTCGTAGCATACAAGGCGTTGCGCATGTCTGATCGTATGGATATCTCCGATAACGCTTCTGTTCAGAGTCCTCGCCACCAGAACCAGGGACATCTAACAAAGAGGTTTACTGAAACGGTTGATCAGTTTTTCAGTATGACAGAGGGTGAGTTAGAACAGCTAGTACCTGGACGGCTGCGGGGACGTTTTAGAAATCTCTCAGGCGTCAGGGCTCCCTATAGAGCGTAACGAAAAAATGTTTTGACAGTTGTTCGAAATACTGCATGATAGATGGGAGTTTAGGAATGAGGGATTTGATTTGGGACAGACCTTGAGCTATTGGTCGTACGTCGCAAACATGCACACACGCCAACCACACACGTATACCAACGGTGCGTAAATGTCAGATAGAATGAAATTCGATTGGTTTACAGGAGACAGAAGGACACCGGCGTATAAAGGACCAACTACATCCGTGATGTTCGTGTCCCGCAAGCATCAACTATGGTACGCACATGTCCATATCCATAGTTGAGTACACTGTGCAATGTTTGCGTTTTATGTCCTATTGAACTGAATTATATTTAAGAGAAGCTGCCATACCCTGAGCTTCCCATCCAGTTCTCACCGCAAACATCAACGCACAGAACAAAGTATCACACCTTCTGCTCACTTCAAAGCCTCCACAACACCAAGCAAATCCCACAAAACACCTCCAAAATGGAAAATCCCGCATTAAACCGCAGCATTTCAACCATCACCATAGTCGCTCTCTTGCACGCCCAATCCTACACATATCCCTTAACCAGAGTTTCCAACGCCACCACTAAATCACCACCACCACCTCCACCAACCTCTTCACCAAAGAACCCTTTCCTCCCCATCAAACTCACCCGTCGATCCCGAATCCGGCAGTACAAAACCTTCAACTCCTCACACATCAATATCGAGATGTCAGATCTCAACCACGCCAGCTCCGTCAAGCCATCTCTCTCCCACCTCACTGATGCTGATTATGATGGAGACGCCGAAGACAACGGTGCTGAGTGCGCCGACGTCGATCTCGTCACACTGGCGCTATGCACGGTTGATAGTATGGAGATTATACGCCGGGATACCGAGGAGAAGTGGAAGGGTGGCCGCAGTAGGAGTGGCAGCGCGAGCGCGAGCGGGAATGGAAGCGTCATGGGTGGGGTTAAGAAGACGGTTACGAACATGGGGGTTAGTGTTAGGAATGGGGTTAAGGGGTTGGCTAGGAAGTTGACTTTTTGAGAGCCAAAGGGAGGGGACATGCTGGACTTGGATGGGGCGAGCTGTGCTGGCTCTTCATCGTTGTGTTTGTTTTTTTTATTGCCACTGCTGTTGTTTCTTTGGATACGTACAATCATACGACGGGGGAGAGGGAGAATGGGGTCATGGATCAGATAACGTGTTGTGTATATAAAGGCATGATGTTGGATGTTTTCTGCAGTGAAGTCTAATTTGCACTAGTGATATGTACTCACACATGTAAGGAGCGAAAACGTATTCATACCACTTCCGCTTCTTCTCTCAAGCAACCCGCTCGCCACGTCGCACATTGTTAGCGCTTACTCGTGTTGCATCACCTCCTTTTTCTTGCACGCCAGGAACATTTGGGCTTGCTCCTCTCTTGCCATTATTGCTCCCGCGAAACCGATTGCTATTATCGTTTCGAGGCTCACTATTCTGATGTAGGATCTGAGTCACACATGGTGTCTTGATGCTGTAGGCGGAAAGAGACACGACGTCGGGAGACAGTAGTGGTGGATGCGAAGTCGGCAGTGGAGGGTGACGCTCCGGAGTCGTATATCCCAGATTGAGTTTGCGACCTTCGTTCATGATGGAGCTGCTCGTATCGCCGGGACCTTGTGTATGGAGTGGACAGTATCGGTTTGGCACATCGTGGTCGCGGATTGTCAGGCGCACCGTCGAATCTGGCTTACTGTTAGCTTGTCTCTGTTATAAACCATTTGAAGACTCTGAAGTCGCATGGGGAGATCCAGACTCTCTAGGAATACGTATTTCATGTTCTGATGAGTTGGGGTAGTCTCGTTTGCCCTCATCGGATCGACCACCAGTTGTAAAAGATGACGTGCTGGAAGATGACCTTCTCGCATCGGTATTCTCGCCCTCATCTTGTGACAATCGTTGCACATCGAGGGGAGGGTATCTTGGCGGGTTCAATGCGCTAACGCGGAAAAGGTAAGGACGGTGTATGATCGGATCTCGCTCAAATGACCGGGCTTCTTTCAATATTTTCTCCCGGATATCCAAATCGAAATCTTTGCTGCTCAACTGCTTCTCCAGCTCTCTAACTAACGGTGCTGTTCTACCACTGAAGCACACGAGGAATTTTTCAGCGTGAGTTTCTGGTCCGAACTGCGAGCGGAGGTGCTGGAAGGCTCGAAGGAGATGAGTATCTACCCAAGCAGAGCGCTGATAGCTGCATATTCCTTCCACGATCATAGTGTAGAGACTACTCATAACTGAGATTAGCTCATTTTGAAGCGTTGGGAGTCTGAGACGAGCTGCGAGTGCCCATGTTTGCGCGAAGATAAGAAGAAAGCTGGGATCGGTGGCTTGGCTTTCAAAGACCGAAAGAGATTCATCGCCACTTAGGTAGGTGAGTACAATGCAGAAAGGATGGACCTCCACATTCGGTAAGACAACGCCGGGCGCCAATGCACCACGTTTTAGACAGCGTTCACGTATGTAATGGTTGAGTCTGATGTGCGTAAGATGATTGGGACAAGTACCAACTGCGATGGTGACGCTGCTCCAGATGGGTCTGGCAGACATGGCGCAATTGCTCGTGAGTTGTCATGCAATGAAGGGAGATGCATCTCTTTATCAACCTTGAAGATCTTTCAGGTCTGACTATTGAGCAATTTGTGCCTTGAAGCGCCTTTGTCTTGAGTTTGCAATATAGGCAAACCTAGTCTTGCATTTGACTGTAGTTGATCTCAACTTTTGTTCTTTGTCGATTTGCAGATGTTGCATTGAGACAAGCAAAATATGTGATTTTCTAATGTACAATGGTTTATCGATAGTTTGCAAAACAGCAGAGTGACGTGCAAAGCATCTGATAACACAAACGCGGTGTTTAAGACAATGCGAACTCAGGATTGCTGTTTCAATTGGCGCTTCCAATATCTCACAAGTGGCTTCCAGATATTTGTTTTTCCATCAAGCTGAGAATACGCCACGCCTAGAAGCCCGCCTGCAAAATGAGCCTAGTGAAGTTAGTAAATTTATTCACGAGAGGCCGGGCTGAGAACTTACTGCATGTCCAAAATTGACAAAGCTGTATCCGCGGATCATACCGATGAAATCAAAAAGCATGATGGCAGGCAGCACATGTTGGGCCTCGAAGTGCACAGGTACAAACAAGATTCCCAGTCCAGCGTGTGGGTACTGCATGCAGAAGACGCCGAGAATACCAAAGAGAGCACCCGAAGCCCCTCCGCAGCGGATGAAGATCTCGGGGATGGGCCGTTTCTGGATGGGTATCAAAGTCGACCAATGCTGCGCGAAACCAGACAGCACACCGGCTGATAAGAAGAAAGACAAGGTATGGTATGGACTACCCTCGAACAGGCGTGAATATCCAACTGGCTTCATGAAGTTGTTCAAGAAGTACATGTTTACGAAGAAATGCAACGCTCCAGAATGTACAAACATGGACGTAAACTGTGTGTAATTAACATTGCGGATAGGGAGATGCCAGAGCGTATCCCAGGTCTGTGGCATTATAAAGCTGCTCAGATAAATCCCACTGTTGGCTCCAATGATTCCATATGTGATTCTTGAGATAGGATCCAGGCTGTTCCACGCTCCAGTAGCAACTTCAGTTGGGGTTGGTGCAGTGCGTCTAGGAAGGGTCCATTGCGGCTTCGGAAGCCATCCCCCAGCAGATGCAGACTGATCTTTGAGCTCCCTCTTAGCTTCCAAATAGGAAAGGCCGACAAAGATTCCACTCGATACAAGTATGGCCCATATGGCTGGCCGTAAATATCGGACCTTGATGTGTCTAAGTTGCTCTAGGATCACATCTTGATCTAACTCTGGTGCTGGAGGATGGGTTTCTCCATCAGCACGAACTTTAGGGTATTCTTTTACAAGATTCTCTGAAATTTCCGGCGTGTTTTGCGGTATGTGTGATTGTTCATTGGAAGGTCTTGGTGCTCTTCTTTGTGGTACACGTTGTACACGCGTCTCGGAAAAGCTACGCAGCTGACTAGGAAGGTGACGATATTTTGGTAGCGTCGGCGCTCGAGATATGCGGCATGTCAGCCGTAGCAATGGCCTAGCAGACTTGAACGCCGACATGAGACGAGTGATCTAGATGCAGCGCGTGGTGGAGATGTGGATGTGCTGGTGCGAACTTTCCAACGGCGTCGGCCCGACTAGCGCGAGGTCCGTGCGATGTCATCACCATCCGCGGGCAGGCGTTCTTGTAATACTCCTCCATCATCCTGTCTACTAGCCATTGTCCATGTCATGGTACATTTCATTATCGGTCTATTGAATTACCACATACTGTCACTACTTGGGTACTGATTTAGGGCTACTCCACCACAAATACAAATTATGCGCCACACAATTGTATTGCCCAGAATATGTTCGCAATGGCTCATTGGACGTGAACGAGATAGATCTATATTATTGTTAAACATGATTTTGGCGTATTCTAAAGCATTACTACCAGGAATCAAGGATCCAAGCTATTTCCGGTAGCAACCCGAATTCCACACTACTCTCTACAGCTACCCGATCTAATGCATCTACGCCACTTAAGCCTGTTTGCCAACAGCAGCTGCTGGCGCGTTGTGACTACTCGAGCTGCTAGCATTTGCCTCGTAGTGGTTCTGCTCCATCAGGCTCCAGTCACCGATTTGCTCGTCTCCAAATTGGTCAAGGTCCAGGCCCATCATCTCCGCCTCAGAGGTAACACGAAGGTGCATACCCGGGATGAACTTGAGAATGTACAAAAGGATGCACGAGACGACGAATGAGTAAGAAGCGATCGCAACAATTTCGGCGAGCTGACGCCCGACCTGGACGCCGACGCCATCCATTGCACCGAGAGCATCGTAAGGGCCCATGCCATCGAGATCGTAGACCCATGATTGCGCAAAAATACCAGTAAGGAAAGATCCGACCATACCGCCAATTCCGTGCAGTTTGAAGACGTCCATGCCCTCATCGATCTTGATCCACTTGTCGACATTCTGGCAAAGAGAGCAGATGGCACCGGTAAGGAAGCCGATGAGTGCGGCGATCCAAAGAGAGACGTATCCTGCGGCTGGCGTAATTCCTACGAGTCCAGCAATGGCACCTGAACAAGCGCCAACAACGGAAAAGTGTCCCTTGGTGCGGATGTACTCCACCATGACCCAGCCAAGCACACCGAAAGAGGCGGCAGTGTTCGTGTTGAAGGCAGCTACCATTGAGCGGACAGTGGCATTGAGCGCACTGCCTCCATTGAAGCCAAACCATCCAAACCAAATAAAGACGGTACCTATGAAGACTAGTGTGGGGTTATGTGCTTTTCCGTGGATCTTGTCACCCTTGTGGAGACGCTTGCCGAGTACAAAGGCATAGGCGAGTGCAGACCATCCAGATGCGATGTGGACAGGGCCACCTCCAGCGAAGTCGAGGGAAGGGAGGTTAAACAACCAACCGTTTCTATTGAGTTGTTAGCTGTGATGTACCTTATCTAGTGCCGACTTTAACGTACGCGTTCCAGGTCCAGCAAGCAATCGGGCAGTAGACAATGGTCGCCCAGCAAAAGGCAAAGACCATGGATGGTAGAATACGTCCACGCTCAAAAGATCCACCAATAACGAGCTGTACAGTACACGCGCAAAACAATAGTTGGTACAAGCCTACATAATTGGTTAGTATATCATGTAACAACTGAATGGACACATGTCGCTTACAGAAGACGATCTCTGGCAAGAGTGGTGATCCAGGTGATGGGGCAGACATCACATCTTTGAGACCGAAATTGGCCATGTTACCAATGAATGGGCCGGCAGTCCGCGAGTAGGCGAGAGAGTAGCCCCAGAACATCCACTGGAAAGTCACGCTTTGCGCTGTCAGCAAGCCTGGCTACACCGAATGGACCGTCGTTGAACTTACACGCCCATCACAGCAAACGACTGAAAGAGCAACGATAAGGCGGACTTGCGGCGTGCAAGACCAGAGTATAGGAAACCGATTCCTGGTATAATCAGGAAGACTAGGAAGGCCATTATCATCAGATAGATGTAATGGAACTCCAGTCCGGTATACTGGAGGTTGACATTTTCTTGGTCTGGGTTGCCGCCATTGGGCTTCGCCGGGTCAAACTCTGGCTGTCCATGTGTCAGTCGTCCCGTCCACGACTGAACAAGCTGTTACTGATTCCACTTACGGCTGATGCTGGTTCCATGATGCAGAGACCTCGAGTTTTGCTGTAAGAGTCGAGCCTCAAAACAATTTATGGAACGGATGATCCAGCGCGCAAAAGAGTACTCAGGATCGTACATATACTTCGGGGCATATCACTCAATGGCCTGCCGCACCCCACAAAGGACCGCGATTGATACGCTGTTAATCCCGGCCCATGTCCTCTTTCCACACCCATACCCGAAGCCGCTGTGCCTCAAGCGTCGAGTGAAATACGGCCTTGGCAAAGATAAGGGAGGCATTCTGAGTCCAGTGTCGAAGGAGCGAAGCGCAGTTGGTGGAGCGCCAGGCCTGCACCGCAGGATTAGGTCTGTAGGATCAAGCCGAGATTGAGGGCAAAGAAGTCAAGCGCGCCGAGGCACGAATCCCAAGTTCCCAAGCCCCGGAAGCGAGTGTTGGCCTAAAACGGGGCGTGTAGAAAGCAGTGGATGCAGGGACCTTGATGGATGATAAGGCAGGGGATGGAAGCGGTATAGCGGCATCCCCAGACGATAAGGCGTTCGGTATCACGGGCGATTGGGTGGCTGTCCGTGGCCTGACATGAATTCTGGAATTTTACCTGATGACGATGAGTAACGTGTCTGAGTGAGAAGATAGGCGTGACTGGTGTATCCGATATCTATAGTTAGGTTTCCCATAAAGTTTTGGGTGTGGTTGGTCGTGGCGGTTGATTTGCTCTTCCATGGTCCGTGTATCCGAACGCCAGGTCCATGCCCCCATGCCATGGCGCTGTTGCATGCTCCTTAGGGGCCTCGTGTCTGACAATGCTGTTGACACGCAACTTGCCGCAATATCGCTATTAGCCGGCAAGCCTTGAAGCATGGAAGGTCAGGGTTTTTTGGCAACACGTTGAGTGCCTGCCGCCCGTACGTTCGATGATGAGCTGCACTGCGAGATTTCGAGACATATTGAGCAACCTTGGTAATGGAGTATGCTCTAAACAAGCAGGTAGTGACGGGGACCTTGCGGAAGACGTCTTGATTTCCGAGTGTCGCAATATCCAATGCAAAGAAAGTCGCTCCGCATAGTGCTCCGTGCCAGCAATTCATCTTATGCCGATCCTACGTGCGAAGAGTTGAGGGTAGCCGTCGGCTTCCTGCGTACACCCTGTATTTGCATTCAAGAGCTCTAGCTGTATAAGTTGTCCCGGATCCTTTGTGGTATGTGGCACTAAAGGTTACCGTCAGCAGCGTTAATGGGATGAGCAAATTCGTTTCTCTGAAGCCTGTGTCATCAGCCTTTGCATGTTCCTGGATGTCGTGTGATATTGTGCCTCTTTTGCATGTGCACATGGTGCAATTTGCTGCCGTGGAATAATGTACTGTGAGCCATGCCGGTGCATGCGGCATCTTGAAGTAGTTAGGCTGCTTGAGCAAACCCACTGTGGAGCGTTCTGCCACCGGGCAGCATAGGCTATCCGGGCTTGGGTCCCAGGTTAAACCAACGACTCGGTAGATTAGCTTATACTTAAAACGGCCAGTATTCCCTACAGGCCAGTAGTTGCTAAATGACCCTATATCTTAAAGTAGCGTTTGCTACCCTCTACTCTTAGCGAGCGGGATAGGTTCGACTACTTTCACCGGTACAACTTACCTGCTGTTGAGGTTGAAGCAACGATTGAATGGGTAAAAGGGGTGACCGGGATGGTAAGGAGACGCTTCCTAATGAAATTGGAGTTTTTTTGATATTGTGTATAGTATATGACGGACCGAGATTGAGCTTTCCCATTGACTACCTGTTTTTCTTTCACCAAACCCTGTCTTGATGTATGGAAGTCGGACTTCACGCTCAGAAAAGACTGCACGCTTCTCACTGTAACTATCACCACGTAAATACAGAACAAAGGAATGCTTCTCGACCTGTCGATCAGCTAATATCCCCCGACATCCTGTAGCTTTTTCTTGGCTCCTAGAGTGAGTTTCGACTCCAACTCATCCTCTCGATCGGCAAGCTTTCCATACAACCCAATGTTCTCCCCACTCGTGTTTCTGTTACTCTTGTTGATTTTCTTGTTCATTTGGGCATGAGCCACTTTAGCCACCGAAGGTATGTCTTGGATTACTTTGAGCACATTCATCTTCATCCTTTTGGCTGTGGATTTTAGACTCTTTTTGTGCTTGGTGACGGGTTTGTGTGTGTTTGGTAAATCATGACTGTTTTTTGTGGTGCTGGAGAAAGGGTTGGGGTCGAGCGCGGCGTATCGTGGAGGAAAGCCATCGCTTTTCTCGTCATCGGGGCGGCATGTGACCTGGAGGAACTGATGTTGAAGAGACTCTGGATGGGAGTGATAGTGGAGAGGCAGAACAATCTGGTCGAACCTTTTAGCATCGTAGACCATTGCGTCTGCCTCGGTGTGTTTTGCGCTGCTTGCATGCCTCGGGTCACGAGAACAAGGTTCGATGAGAGACCGTTCTGAAGTGGGCGGATGAGCAACACGATGCCATGACGATGCCGAAGACTGCTTGATTGTTTTTGATGATTTCATAGCTCCCAAAAATCGGCGTAGTGATGTCTGCGTATCGCGTTTGTAATTCGACTTTTCACTCTGACTCGAGGGTGGTGGGATTTGATTAGGGTCAGTCCTCCATCTTGGGATTGTTTCGCCACTGCAACTTGTTTGCGAAGGCGCTTCTTGGTCACGCTTTGAAGACACAGGAATATACAGAGGCACGCATCTTAGTAAGGGAAATGTGCCTGTTGGCATCATGTAGTAAGCCATGATGAGTCCGTAGCTTAGTCGGCCAGATCTTGGTGAAGAAGAGCAACGAAATACGACAAGAACATCAAAAGCGAGGGCGATGACGAAAGGAAGGAGGAAGGGGGGGAAAGGCCAGTGTTGCTTCATGTTGTATGTCTTGGTTGCAAGGAGAAATGGCACTACTTATTGCTTCCTCGGAGCAGCTGATGCGGTGTGGTTCTGGTCGAGTACCATGGCCATGGCACCATTTCTGTGGCGTTCTGCGCACTGCCATTCTGCAGTTTACTCATCGCACGCTCAGGTTCGAAAGCGTTATTGAATCTGTTTAGCTAGTGGATGTGGGGCTGGTAGCTGTTCCTTGATGCATGTATAGCGCGCATGTATAAGGGGCTGTACGGAGATTGAGGATGTGTTGATGCGAAGAAGACGCTTGAGGAGTTTACTACTCTCGCTCTTCGAGTCATCTCAACACGGAACTGATCTTTTCCTGGACAGGATCGCCGATCTGACGGCTGTGGTGGTGGTGGTGGTACCCGTGTTTTGCAGGCATGACCAGGCTTGGGCTGTGCCGAGGCGCGTTTCCGGCGCGTTGTTGATGGTTTCTTTTTTGCTGCAGCAGCTCGGACAGACACGATGGCGCAAAGCACACATGTAGATACTACATACGTGCATACGTAGACAGCAGATATGCAGTTTTGCATCTAACGAGCGCAACCATGGTAATGCACAGTAGTATGGAGATGCAGAGTCAGCTTGGCTGGATTAGGGGAGGGTCGCGTGACGCAACGAGGCGGAATTTCCAGTGACGTAGGTCTGTGCCAAACATCAAACAGTCCAGGCCCCCGCTTCATGCTTCCTTCAAATACAGCCCAGGCAGCACTTGGTTTTTACAGCTTCATTCTTACTTGCATACTACTCTGCCCTCCTCCCACTTATATCCAACGCCGACTTCAACACCGCAAATATGTTCAACCTTGTCCTCTCCCTGCTTCTCCAGCTCTCCATGTTCATGCTGGCTGAAGCAGCTCCTCTTACAGTGCAGAAAGCCGAGCCATGGCAAGCTGGTACCGGAGGCGGCATCGTCGGATTCATTGTTCTTGTTCTCGACATCATCGCATGGAGTAAGTATCCTTCACTGGTCTCGAGCCGTGTTGCTTTACCTTCTCGGGAATCGATCCATCTGACTGCCACAATCGTGCTGACCCGCCCGTGCTACAGTTGAGATCTTCAAGTCGAACCGCCCCGTGCCCAACAAGGTCATCTGGGCTCTCGTCGTATTCCTCTTTCCTGTTGTCGGCATGATCATCTACTACCTCTTCTCGAACCGCCAAGCTCACAACACCTACGAGCCCATTCCCGCATAGACCACCCAAAGGCCCCCTTTATCCTAGCATCCACTGCGCAACGCAAAGCAAAAGCTAGGTGCGATGACGAAATGTGCTTATAGGTATTGCAGCCTGAAGCAGCAATCATGCAAGAATCTGGTGTGATGGTTGGGTGTTGGGCGTTTTATTATGGACCTGTGGTGGACAATGGCGATAGAGACACGGCTCATCGTTGATATCCGGCCTGTTTACGAGTTTTCTTTCTTATCTCAATGACCATTGATGCAATAACCAATAAATTCCACTACAACTTTAAAGCGTTGCATCTCTCTCGTCCCTCTTTTACTTACTTGCTTCTCCCCAGTTACGGCTCCCCTCCCCCATAATGGGCCAGCACATCTCTTCCAATGGATCGTTTGAGAAAACCCGATTTACAGTTTCTGTCCACACTTTACCCAGAATTCTCCTACAAGCGACGAGCTTCCTGCTCAACGTAGGACATCGCCAATTAGGCTAACAGTGCCACTGGAAATAGTGACTTGTTAAAAACCTCCGTATTTGTTGGCCTGAGCACCGTTGACGGGTTGAATAATCGAGACAGCAAATCCGGCGGCACCAATGTCCATGCCCATATATTTGCCAATGCTTCGAGGATTCCTTGGTGCAGATCGAGATAGCCGCAGTTCCAGCTGAGATGATCGTTCCCGAGACAAAACCAAAGAAAATGGAAAAGACAATGATAACTGCGTTTGTATACAGCTCATTGAAACAGAACACGACAATCTCCGACGAAATGCCCGCAAAAGCAAACATGTTGAGTCGGCCCAGTTTGTCAGCCAGTATCCCGGGAATGGTGTGTCTAAAGTTTGACGACCCGTTGATCACGGCGATGAAATGGGATGCTTGCAGGGCAGTCGTTCCTCTTCTGACAGTGTATACAAGAGTGCAGAAGAGGGCGTCCACATACCTATCGTCATGAAGAATAGCACTGCTCCGAGTAATACGTACTTCTTCGCCCTCCATACCTCTCGAATGGAGACGGTCGCCTACGAGGTGGCAATGTGGACATATTACTGTACACGTAAGCATCGTGAACGGCAAAATGATAAATGTGATGATGCGTATGGACCACCCAAAATGTAGTGACGACGAGCAAAGGAGCTTGCAAAGGATGGTGAGCAAATCCACGCTACCAACCAAATACCCAGAAGCCACAATTCTGAAGGCTACAGTACGCCGTTTGTCGGAGTAATGTCACATGACGACAACGAAGGCGGGAAATTGTAGAAAAGCGACGCTGCTGCCCATAGGGATAGATCGCGCGAGAATGAGTTAATAGTAGTCGTCACTGAGACTGACGTTTGTAAGACTAAGTACGTGGGCAAAAGCTACTGGTGGATGCTTATGCTATAGTCGGAAGCATGAGACGTGGTGTTCTTTCACTTTTTTGTAGCCTTGCTCCCTATTATCTGCAGGGAAATGGAGCTCGCTCATGTAGACTCCAAACCGGTCAAGCAGTGGTCCACCTGCTGCGCTGCTTACAAACCGTGTAAAAGTTGCCAAGCTGCCTATCCATGGCAGTCTCGTCGTGGGTATGCTGGCACGGCTGGATACAGTAAACGAAAGTTAATATGTATCGGAGATAAGAAAGTCGGCCGTGGTGCGATTGGCCAATATCTCCGAGCACGCGAAAGTTTACTAGACATGACCGAGCGATCATAAGTATGTATCTCCGCTTTCACTTCGGTTTCGGGGACCCCACTCGAGCTTCCATCCTCTTCAACAATATTCAGGCACTCCACACTGCGATTAGAGGTTTTGCGAAAGATATGGCTGAGGGCCCTCGCTCACGTAAAAGACCCACTGTGTAGGTCGGTCGTGTCTTGGCGACTATAACCGGCACTAACCATATTCAGCTCCTGCACCCTCTGCCGCAGAAGAAAGATACGGTGTAACAGAGAGACGCCATGCAGCAACTGTATCAGGTCAAAGACGGGGTCTTGTGTATACGAGACTCAATCATCTCTAGATCAGAGGTTGGGTAAAAGAGCACCTGCATGCATTCAACCACAGCACGATGTACCAGGACCAATCGCCGGCTCCAACATACCTTCAGGAGTCTCGACTACAAGTAGCTCATCCTCTACAAAACACCCTACAGACGGCAGCAACTACGCTGCGTTTGAGCTGGAAGCCATGCGAATTCGCATCACTGAACTGGAAGATAAGTTATATCGTGCTAGTAGTGTTACCAACTCGCCGTTTTCGGACGCTGCTTCTACTCCAGCTTCGACACATTCCGTGCGGACTGTCAGCTGCCTGGCGACAACTCTAGATGTTCTTGAAGATACCCGGTCACCCAGCGGCACCTCCATCTCTCGGAGTGTCGCACATAAAAACCGTGTGTTTGGGCAAAGCCATTGGATGAACATTTTCGTCATGGTGCAAACCCCCATGCTTTACATCGAAGTGCACTCGATTGCTAACAATGTGCGTAGTTCCGCCAAATGCTTGAGATGATTGAGCCGCATCTTCGAGCCGGATCCATGAACTGTATCAATGACATACAACGAGCCAAGAAGCTTGCCCGTGTCATCAAAGCGAGTCGCTCTCCAGCCTGGCCTACTCAGCCGTGCAGAGACTTGCCGCCCAAGCCACTTTGCGACCAACTTGTTGCCGCATACCTTCGTACCATAGAGACACTATACCGGGTCTTACACGTGCCAAGCTTCCAGCGTGCATACGAAGACATATGGAGCACCGACACAGTTCCTAGCATGTCCTTTGTAGTGATGCTCAAGTTAGTCTTGGCAATCGGTGCCACCTTTTACGATGACAACATGTCCCTGCGGGCCGAAGCGATACGCTGGGTGTACGAAGCACAAACATGGCTGTCCTCGCCCTCATTCAAGTCGCAGCTTGGCATTCAATACTTGCAAAACAGCATCCTCCTGCTCTTTGCACGCGAACTTGTTGGAGTGGGCGAGGCCCTTGTATGGATTTCGCTGGGTGCCGTGTATCGTACAGCAGTCTATATTGGACTGCACAAAGATCCCTCCCATCTTCCTGCAATGACCACACTGGAGGCAGAAATGCGCCGACGGATCTGGAATACGGTACTTGAGTTATCGTTGCAGATGAGCATGATGTCTGGTGGGCCACCACTAATTTCCCAAGAAGAATACAGTACTGCGCCTCCAGGAAATTTTGACGACGAGGAACTTTTGAGGGCGGATCCCGTCGCGGCACACGACCAAGTCTTTACGCAAACGTCAGTGGCGATTGCTCTTCGGAAAACACTGCCGGTTCGGCTTGCGATACTCAAATTTTTGAACGAAATCGCTTCAAGTGGGACGTACGAAGAGACATTGCACATTGATGGAATGCTCAGAAGTGCGTCCAAGAACTTGCGCCGTACACTGCACGGCTACAGTGCTGGGGCGCATTCGCCGTCACACTTCACGCTGCAAGCAGTTGAGTTTATTATGCAGCGCTACACGAGCTGCCTCCACCTCCCCTTCTTCGCCTCTGGACTCACAGATCCAAGGTTCGCTTACTCACGAAAAGCCACGGTGGAATCGTCGCTCAAGATCTGCAATATAGCGCATCCGGTATGTGCGGGCAGTGTTTGCTCGGAAGGCGAGAGGGACCTAGATCGTCTATGTCGGTGTGGGTCGGGCTTCTTCCGGGAATATGCTTTCAATGCTTCGTTGTTCTTGACGAAAGAGTGGACCATGCGAGTGCAGGACGATGAAGAGGACGCAGACATGATGTCGAGCCCGCTGAGAGTCGCGGTTGAGCAGGCTACATCTTGGGCTTTGGACGCCAATCGAGCTGGCGAAACGGGCGTCAAGGGCTATCTTGTGCTGTGTCTCCACAAGGCATGGATCGACGCGACAAAACGTCGGGCCAACCGGTCGGATTTCCCAATGCTCTTGGTAGAAGCCTTGCGACGGGCCCTGGACGTGTGCGTCCCGCTGCTAGAGACGATAGCGAGCACCCAAGTGCAGTGTTTGAGCCCGTATGCCGCCAACGAGCTGGAGGCTGTTGGAGAAGGTGACTTTCAGTTTCCAGCCGAAGGTGCCGAGGATTGGGACACGGTGATGTGGGAAACGTTCAACATGGACGATATCGGGAGCTTTGACGCGTTCATGCCATGAAGCAAGTAAGTATGAGTATGGGCAGCCGGGTCAGGCAGATGTGGTGTGGTCTCGTGACGTGACGGCGGCTGTCATGGTTCCGAGGGGGCCAAGACGCAGGAGCATGACACGCGCCCCTGGCCGTGTCCCGCTTTCCAGCCGCCCGTCCATCCAACCGCCCGTAGCCATTGCGCCGCGCTGCATTCCAATGGCTACGGCGCCACGAGCAATTGACCATGTCTGGCAGCGCTTCGCACAACAATTGGTGCACACTCGAAATCTAAACATCGTCACGCTCACGCTGCTCGCCACGTCATCCATGTACTTAGACACACTACTAGTAGCGCCCAGCCAGGCACACTTGATCATAATCCTCCGAGCATCCTGACACACAAAGAGCCTCATGCACGCCCCAACATCCGGCGCTCCACGTCGCAGTGCTGTCAGAACAACCACGCATCATAGCCATTGTCGCCTCATAAATCACGTCCAAGTGGCCTGATTTTTCTTCCTTTCTTCGCTTCTCCCCTTGTCGTGTTTCTTGGTATACCTCAGGCAGCGGAACCAAAACCTCATCCAACCACTACTTCTCTTCTTTCTTTTGGGTCTATTCACTTCTACGAGGCGTGCCGGTCACATTTTTGCCATTACTATTTTCATAATACCCGACTTCCATTCATTCACTACCGACAATCGTTTCTTCGCCGGCCTCGCCACAACTCATTGTCAAACAACTCGACAAAGAAAAAAAAAGAATACAACAAAACCAAGAAGAAGAAGAAGAAGAAGACGAAGAAGAAGAAGAAGAAGAAGAAGAAGAAGAAGAAGAAAAAACACTCCAACGACGACATCGCCATCATGTACACCTCACTTTTTGAGCCGCTTCTTCTTCTCCTGTCCATCTTCCACTTGGCAGTTGCCTCTCCTTCAGCCAGAAATGTCATCATCCCAGGTCGCTTGAACAACGACCTGGACACCCGCCAAGTCTCCGTCACTCCTTCCCAGCAAGAACTCTGCCTCGACTATGAGCGCACGGCAAATCTATCCACTGCCGGCGCTAATGGATCCTACCGTACCGTCGTAATGCAAAAGGCAAACGTAGGCACTCTGACCAGTGCCGCCCTGATGAACGCAGCCATGGCCAAGTTGCCCGCCCTCACCGCCGACAGGGACTTGAACGCCCGCTGTGGAAATTGGACTGAGATTGCACTGGTCGAGGCTGAGAAGAACTTTACCCAGGGCATTGTGCTGCAGTTCACTACCGAAGGCCTGCCCGTTGGCATCAAGAACGGTCCTGAAGTAATAGTCATCGTAGCTCTGATTTGTCTGCTCTTCAGTGTCGTTTGGATCTTCGCAGAGTAAATGGAGCGAAGAGAGAGAGTGTGTGTGAGAGAGAGAGAGAGAGAAAAAATCTGGAGAGTCGGGGGAGTGTCAATATTGAATCAAGATAGTTGAGTTGTGATGGACATGGTGTATGGCCATCGCGGCGCTGTTACTATAGTAAGAGGAGAGACGAGTCAAGAATACCCGATCGTGCAATGTTTAAAGTATGGTGATTTGATCAAATCATCTTTCAATTCCTTCCTGCATCTTTTTAATGTTTTGGTACTGTTTGCGTGTGTGAACATTTTTCCTTTTCTTTGTTAGTAACCTGTAAATGCATCACCATGCGACACTGTATTTACTCGCAAACACAATCGATTTCAAGTATGGAATGGACAAATTCAGACCAGCGCTCCAATATCAAACTGAGTAAGAGGATTTTTTTAAAAAAAATATACTAGAGAAAATACTGTATGTACAAATCAACATCGTCTCACCACCATCAGGTCCAACTCATGTCCTGACAATAAGTATACAACCCGTCACTCCTCGTGGCACGCCCTAGTAGCTTAAAAGGTGACAACGCCGACACCAGCACTCTTGGCTACGATGCTGCAGACACTGGCCGCGGGGTCAACAGTGTACTTGTAGCTGGGCGTGAAAGAGCCCTGCTTGGTAATTTGAGTAGGGCTGTTGCTGAAAACATTGTTCTTCTCCGTTGCAAAGCCCTCCTCGTCAGAGTCAAGGTTGGTAACGACCGACTTGGCGACGTTGGTGAAGGAGTTGGACTCAACGAGCACTTGAGCGCCCATGCGCGAGTTGATGCCGGAAATGCCACCGTTGAAGCACGAGTTGTAGATGTGGCCTGTGCCGAAGCGGATGGAGGGCAGACGCGAGTTGACTGCGGTGAAGGAGTTGTGGTGGTATGTCACGCGCAGCTTGCCCTTGTCTACTGACCCGTTGTTGTCGGAGTGACCGACAAGGGAACCCTTCCACTAGCGAGTCTGTTAGCATCCCTTCTACCGATATCATTTATTCTATAGTAAAGAAGAACTTACGTGGTCGTGGAACTTGTTCCATGAGAAAGTCAAAAAGTCGGACCCAGATTTTGCGTCCAAGAGACCATCGTACTTGTCCTTGTCGCCGGTGATGCCGACGCTGGAAAAATCATTGTGGTCGATCCAGACCTTGGTGGTCCCCTCGATATCGATGAGGTCCTTGCCCTCGGGAGCACGGTAAAACTTCAGGTTGCGGACAATGATGTTGGAAGTCTTGTAAAAGCGGAAACCACCATCGGTGATTCCGGCATCCTTGCCCACACCAAGGATGGAGGTGCCGGGGACATTGAAGCGGACTATGCCGCAGCCGGTGAGCGTACCCTGAATCTTGATGACGCCTCCGACCTTGGCGGCAGCAGTCAGGCCAGCGCAGTTGGTGACGGTGGTACCGGCTCCGCTTCCTCCTCCTGTGGTGCCAGCACCAAAACCAACAAGCTCATCAACGGCGGCAGCGCTCTTCTCCACGGGGGCGCCATAGGCGGTGGAAGCAGCTGTCAAAGCCACAGTGGCGACCTCGAAGAAACGCATCGTGATGTCTTTATGGGTAATGGAATAAGAAGCGCACGAGAAAGGATTGATACAGGATGTAAAGATCGACTGGCAAAAAAAGGCTTGAGATATGTACAAGGATCCAGCGGTTATGCCAAACGAACCTACTGAAAAAAGGGATAGAGGGCAGCTACAACATTTGTATTTTTATAGCAAAACCATTTGATATATCATGACCTATATCATTTAAGATTAACAGAGCAGACGCCGTGCAAACTGTGGAGCAGCAATTAACTCATCGGGGCTCCCCAATGAGCAGTTTCTCCGCAAGCATACGAGTTCAAGCTTGGCTTTTGGGGGAGGACCTTTTGGCAACCGCCAATATCCACCAAGCACGTCAAGCCATGGCGGTCTCGTGTGTATCCATTTGATGGAATTCTAGAAGCCTAGTTCGCTTGGAAACCTGGAGTACATGTCCAGGGATAATGGGGGCGTTCTCTTTCAAAAGCCGACCCTTCTCAATAGGTGCGTGAGTGGGATGCCGTTTCTGTTAGCTTGTTTCCGAAAGATTCCTAGAGTAGGAAGGTAATCTAGCAGTTAGAGGTGTCGCCAATCGACCATGCTGTTAAGAAATCTTGGCTGCGCCTTGACGACAAAAGAACCACCAATGGGAGAAACTCGGAAATGAAGATCGCCATTCCAGACCAGTGGACGAGATGGAGGTCGTTGTCATTTGGGGTATTTGGGTAACGACGAACAGTGGATGGAATAATGTGGTGGGGGCGTGAACAATGGAATGTGGTGCAACAGGTTGACTGCATTCCTGTGGTGGGAAAGATGGAGAAATTGCAAGTCAGTGTAGAGGTGCCGGACGGGCCAACGCCGCGGACGGGCCAACGCCGGATTTTCCCTGCTAACACTATCACAAACTTGAAGCTGTAGAGCTCTACACAAAAGCTATTATCACGAGAAATCTTAGCGTAGTAATCTAGTAGTATTATTTATTTAATCTATCTACTAATATTTAACTAGTAGCTTAATAGGGCGGCCTGAACGCGAGCGCGGTGATAGTGGTGCAGCTGATCGATTGGCTAGCTCTACACCACCACCACTACCACCAACGATAATATTTTTTGATACTAGCTTTGTACGGCGCTTAGATCTAGACTTCTTACCTATCTTAGAGATCTTAATGGCTTTTTAAAGTCGTTTGTGGGCGGCTTGGCGGGCTATCCAGTGGGTAGCTACTTTAGCTTTCTGCTGTTACAAGTAACAAGAAGGATTCTCTCCTTGACAAGTGACGAGATGGCTGAAGGCCTATGGACGCCCACGTCAGAAGGTAATGATCATCGCGGGGCTAGGTCACGTGATGTGCCATCCCGCCAAGAGCAACCATCCAAGGGATGGCAGGA